TTATGTATCTTTTTGAAGTATAGTTTACACACAATGTTACATTAGTTTCAGGCATACAACATAGTGATTCCACAAGTCCTTACATTATGCTATGCTCACCATAAGTGTAGCTACAATCTGTCATCATATAATGCTATTAAAATATCATTAACTATGTTCCCTATGCTGTACCTTTTATCACTGTGACTTATTACTTCCATAACTGGAAGCTTGTACCTCCCACCCCCTTTTCTATTTTATAGTTTATAAAACGTCAAGATAGGGCAGCCCCAGTGGCACAGCAGTTTGGCGCCACCTGCAGCCTGGGTGTGATCCTGGAGACCTGGGATCGAGTCCCACATCAGGCTCCCTACATGGAGCCTGCTTCTCCCTCTGCCTGTGTCTCTGCCTCTCTGTGTGTGTGTGTGTCTATGAATAAATAAATAAAATCTTTTAAAAAAAAGTTCTGGTTTAAAAAAAAGTCAAGATAATCCACATACAAAAGAATAGAGCTGGACCCTGACCTCATACCATATACAAAAATTAACTCAAAAATGGATCAAAGACTTCAATATTAAAGCTAGACCAATAAAATTCTTCAAAGAAGAGATAGGGGTAAATCTTCATTGTCTTGAATTTGGCAATGGTTTCTTAAATATAACACTGAAAGCACAAGCAACAAAAATTGATAAACTGGACTTCAAATTTCAAACCTTTTGTGCATCAAAAGACACTATCAACAAAGTAAAGACTGGACGCCTGAGTGGCTCAGTAATTGAGCATCTGCCTTTAGCTCAGGTTGTGATCCCGGAGTCCCACATCAGGCTCCCCCTGGGGAGCCTGCTTCTTGCTCTGCCTATGTCTCTGCCTCTTTCTGTGTCTCTCTCATGAATAAACAAAATTTTTAAAAAAGTAAAAAGACAACTCAGAATGAAAGAAAATATTTGCAAATCATATGTCTGATCAGGGTCTAGTATCTAGAATATATTCTTTAAAAACTCTTCCAAGTCAACAATAAAAAAATTTTAAACGGGCAAAAGACTTAAATAGTTCTCTAAGGAAGAAATTCAAATAGTCAACGACCACATAAGAAGATGCTACACATCATTAGTCATTACAGAAAGACAAATAAAAACCACAATGAGATCCCATTTCATAAAAAACCCAGAGAGTAACAAATGTTGGTGAGGATGTGAAGAAATTAGAACCCTTGTACATTGCTGGTGGGAATGTAAAATGGTGCAGCCACTGTGGAAAACAGTTTGGTGGTTCCTCAACAAGTTAAAACAGAATTACCATATGACTCAGTATTTCCACTTCTAGGTACATACCTGAAAGAATTGAAAACAGGTGTTCAAACAAAAACCTGTACACAAATATTCAAATGAGCATTATGCATAAAGCCAAAAGGTAGAAAGATCCCAAATGACTATGGACTGATGAATAAATAAACAAAATGTAATATACCCATACAAGGGAATATTATTCAACCATAAAAAGGAATAAAATAATAGGGGCACCTGGCTGGCTCAGTCAGAAGAGCAGGCAACTCTTGTCAAGGCTGTGAGTTTGAGACTCACATTGCATATAGAGATTACTAAAAACAAACAAACTTTTTAAAACAAAGGAATGAAATACTGATACATGCCACAACATTATTGAATCTCAAAAACATGTGAAGTGAAAAAAGCCAGACAATAAGGTAATGTAATGCATGATTTCATTTATATGAACTATCTAGAATAGGCAAATCCATAGATGAAAATGTTTTGGAACTAAATATGCAACATCATGAAGTTACTTAATTGTGCACTCTAAAATGGTATAATGTTATGTGAATTTTATCACAATAAAAGGTTACCAGGTTAAAACACAGAAAACAATGTTACTTCATTTCTGTTAATGAAAAAAATAGCCCTGAAGAAAGGAGAATTAAAGGCTCACTACTGCAATAACTTAACCTCAACATTTCCTAAGTCAAATATCTCAGGACAAGTTCTACCAAAACAATTTAAAATGGCATCAAATTCTACTCTCAAAGTTTTGGAAATTTCTGAATGAATGCTTTTATAGATGTCCTTTACAATCATCGAATATTTCCTAACAGTGCCATAATTTTTATGATCTCAAACAAAAAATGGAAAAAACCCACCTCTCTGAAAGTATAATGGACTTTAGCCAAGAGACATAATCAAGTAAATCTGCAAACAGAGCTGGTCTACTTATGCTAAGATGGGGTACTGAAGGGTTTTTTTCCTTGCACACAATCCCCTCCCCCACAAACATATACACAAAAATTTAGACCTTCTGTTAATTTTTAAAGTAAATTATCTGACTAGAAATCTTATAGTAATATAACAATTCTCATTTATTTCTATTCTGGTTCTATGCAACCACTGGCTTTATCATTTACTGGCTAAGTAATGTACACCTTAATGAAAAATTCCTGTACTTTATGGAAGATAATTAAAGTTTGAATTACAGAAATTTAACTCCTAAAACACCATGGAATAATTACATCAAAAATGCAGACTTGTGATATGAGGATCAACATTGGTCTAGAAGTCAAAATTCCAGGGTCCACCACTTACTTAATAGAGCAGGTCTTATCTTTCTGTGCTTTATTTTCTCTCTTAGGTATAAAAAAGGCAAATAACTTTCCTGCTGCCTACCAACAGAAGCACAGTAATTAAAATATGTACAAGGTGTGATGGGACCACTAAAGAAGGGCATCTAATGTAGCTTAGTGGAGGCTGCTAGGGAAAGGAAAAAAGACGGGGGAGAGCAGGAAAGGCTTTCAGGAATAACTAATGACAGAGGTTAGTCTAAAAAGGAGCTCAAATTCAAAGGGAGGGGGAGAGAACATTCCAGGTGGGGGGGGGAATGGGGGCGGGTTGGGACATCAGAAGCAAAGGCAGAGAGATGAATACCAAAAATCTGCTTACATTATTCCCCTTCTTAAATAGTCAAAGGCTCCAAATCCGGCAGGGCAGTCCTTCACCCCAGACTCAATCTAAGATTACAGCCTTATTTCAACCCACTCTCCAGATATACCAAACTTAAACTTCCTAGCCTCAAAACCTGAAAGTTCTTCCACTCCAAATATCTAGTTCAAAACTGGGAGGCTACCTTGCCGCCAAAGTTGGTGCAACATTCCCAGGCTCTCATGGTGCTTTTATACTTCTACTCTATTGCTTAATACACTAAGTATTCATTTTAATCTATGAGAATAAGAGCATATTATCAGCTTTTGTATTTAAATTCTGGGTAGCCAAAACAAGGATTACACTCTTTCCAACATCAAAGCAGAATAAAAGAAAAAGGGCATGGGAATGTTCTCAAATTTGCAACATTTCCAAGATAATGAGTATATGTCAGTAAAGTTTCTAGAACTTTGTAACCATGAAAAGTTACAAATCCATAAACTATTAATCTTGACCCAGAACAGAATGAGACCATCACAAGGTATCCTTACCAAAAGATAAGTAATGTATTCGAGAACAAAATGTCCTAGTAATCTGCTACAATTTAAACTCACAGGAAAAAGCAAGTGCCAATTTTCAAACAAGGTAAATTCAAAATGACCAAAAAAGATCACGTATAATTATTTTAGCATTCAAAATCAGCTTTAGTACATTTTAGCTATCCTTTAATGCAGTGTATGCTTTCCTTCAGGCTCCTGACTTTAAACAATTTTTAAATTCATCAATTTAAAGGTTAGAGACTATCTAGAAGACACCTGATGCTTTGTCATATACTGAGATCTCTTCAAAAGTTATCTTGATTGTTACAACTTACTGTAAGTGAAAAACAGGTAACAATGCCTCCCAAAGTTGGACGCAATCACTACTACACAGAAGATTTTCACAACTTAAAAGAGTATTTATTCATGTAATTGCTTTAGTCAAAGGCAACTCTTAAGAAGGAATATCCATACCACTCGCATCTGTTTTGAGGGTTCAATTTCATTTTAACAGGGTCTATCCGGATGCCTGGGTGGCTTCGTGGTTGAGCGTCTACCTTTGACTCAAGGCATGATCCCGGAGTCCCAGGATGGAGTCCCACATTGGGGTCCCTGCATGGATCCTGCTTCTCCCTCTGCCTATGCCTCTGCCTCTATCTCTGTGTCTCTCATGAATGAATAAATAAAATCTTTTAAAAAGAAAAAAAAAAACAGGGTCTATCAACTCCCAAGATAGGGAAGGATTTCCACCCACAGCCCACTTCATAAATGTTTCACCTTCTTAACTAGTCAAACAAAACCTCTTTCAGTACAGTGAAGTCACCTCACCACTTTTATACTAAACCATACTATTCCCTCCCCACCCCCAAGCTGTCAGTCACAGAAAACACCACCCGTTCCCAAATAACACCTCTCAATCTCCTTGAACCTAACCCACTTACACAGACAGTAATATTCCCTCACCTGATCCAGTCCTATCGACTTTCACACATCAAATGAATCTCTAAATTAAATCCACTTTCCCCTACCCCATTACCCACTGAAACTCAACTTCCCACACCTGAAGCGATCTTCTCTTTCAGCAGCCTCAATCGCACTCAAACGATCACTCAGTCCTTTGTCAACCATCTCTCGGTCCCCCTCAAGTATCTACCTCACCTTCCCCATTCGCTAGTCTTCTTCCATCAACTCCCAAAGTTGCCACCCTCAACAAAAGCAGCAAAGAAGACAAAAAACGCACCTCAACCCCAAACCTGCCCTTCCCCACTTGTCTCCCTTAGAATTTCTCTCTCTGCCCATTCGCTCAAACGGACAGCGGCTCCGACAACCTCGAAGACCCAAGCCCGACCTCGTCCCATACCTCTTGGCGACAGCAATCACCCAGCCTCGGTCAAGCCGCCCCCCCCCCCTCCACTAGGGCGCTTACTCGGAACAGACTCTTGGCCGCTGCTGCCTCCCTCCATTCATCCCCGGCCCATTCATCTCTCAGCCGGATCCCAGACACGCCCCCCGGCCTCCTCCCTCTCTCCCAGAGCCCTGGCCGGCCCGGGACCCTCACCAGATTAGAGGCTCTCACGGACAGAGACTCGGACTCTTTTCGCTTCTCCCTCGCCCTCTTTCAAGCCTCCGCTCGCCCCTCGACGAGCCACACGGTAGAACACACACAGATACACACACCGCCTCCTCCTCTATCGCCTCCTCCGATGCTTCTTACTCCCCTCCTCGATGTCTCGAGCTCCGCTCCGCGTTGTGTGCGCGTGCGCGCGCGAGCGGCTCCCGCGAGCCCACCGGGCCAGCTACAGCCGGTAGGTAAAGAGCGGGCGGGGTTAGGGGAGCGGGGTATGAGCAAAAGCTCGCGCTCTCCCGGGAGCAGAGCAAGCGCACGCGTACTCCAGCCAGGGAATTCTGGAGAGGAGAGGAGAGTGGAGGGGGGCGGGGAAGGGAGGGGAGGAAAGAAGAGGGGGAGGGGCGGAGAAAGCCGACGGTGCAGCCCCAACTCCGAACAGCCCCTATCACTGCGAGGTGCTGAGTGGCTAGCCAACTAGGGCGTGCGTACTCCTCCCCCGCCCTCTTCAACGCAGCGGGAGAGAGGGATGCGCGTCGAGCAGGATAAAGGCTTCTCTCCTTTGCAAAACACGCGTGACACCTCCTGTGTGTTCAAAAGCTCTCTCTTCACGGCTGCTTTACCTTCTTCCCCTCCAAAAAAAAAAAAAAAAGTCTAAGCACACACTACTTCCCAGCCACCCACCATCCACTCTGTTATCCGCAACCCTCTAAATGCAAATGTGGTACCCGCCAACACCTTTTCACCCACCACCCCTAACTCCCTTTTTCCAACTCCCGTCTTTTCTCGCGAGACCCATACCTGCCGGCTTCGGGATTAGAAATCGAAGCACAGATTTACAAATACCGGTCTCCTGGTTACATTGCGAGGGCAACGGGCACGGCATGCCCCCCCCCCCCAGAGCCGCAGTGCGCGCGCGCGGGGGCTGGGCAACAACGAAAGTGGGGATGGGAAAGGGAAGCTATGAAACGGAGTTTTGACGGCCTGTAACCGCTAGGCCTAGGCACGTGCATTGCGCCTCGCAGGCGGGTGAGGTGTACCCTGGGAATTGTAGTTTTTGTTCCCATCTCCCGTCTCCTTTCCATCCTCAGCTTTACTTAGGCCTCTGGCCCGGAGGGAAGTTACCGACGCCATTTTGCTGGGAACAATGGCCTTCGGCCTAGGCAGTGACGGGTGGGGGAGGGAGTAATGTTTTAAGGGTTCGGTTAACCTCCTCTGGCCCCTCGGTGCCATAGCAACCGCTTCAGAAACCTAGCCCCGCCCCTTCTCTGCTCTGCTGGTCTCCTTGACTGCGCACATGCGGTGGGAAAGGCCACCTCCCCCTAAAGCAGGCTCTCGCCATCTCCTCCCGCTCACCAGCCTCTAGTTGGTTGTGAATGCTACCTCCTTCAAGCTTTCACTACACGTTAACCTTGGCACAGCGGCTTTAAGATCTGTTTCCTGCATTGTATCAGACACTGTAACGGAATTGTTTCTGTCATTTTTTCATGAATAATCCTGGCTCCACAGGGGAAAAAACTGAAGCTCAGGAGGGGAAAACTGCCATGACTTGCTCAAGTTCACACAACTATGTGTGGAAGAGTCAGAACTTGAACCCAAGTGTACTCACTCCAGAGCCTGTGGTTTTTCAATCCCCCAGGCTGCATCTGGTATCTGAGCCACTGAATGACATCTCCTAATCCTAAGGGCCAGGATTTCTTTCAAACGCCCCTCAAGCCTTAGCAGGATGCCTTGAGGGTAGGAGGCGGTGTGAAAAACGCAAAGCTAGTATTTCCAACTGCCCAGCCTCAGAGCCCTATTAATGGGTTATATCAATCTCTCTCCACATTTTTTTTTCTTTTCCTACCATAGGCCTCATAACCTCAGCCTTTTCGGCTCTTTAAAAAACCATCAATAAATTTAACTATGAAGTTTCCAGAATCCAAATGGAGTGAAACAGTGAGAGGCCATGTAGCCCTCTTTATTATCTTTACATCTTTTCTCTTGAAAGTCATTTATTGATCCAAGGATTGCCAAAACATGTATGAAAACCAGACTATGCCCTTAATAAATTCAAATCTCCATCTCCCACTTTTGACAATGGAAATAGACTACATGAATGAAATTCAGGGCTAGGAGGTCCAACTACTTCACCTGTGGAGATCTTCCTGGCAAAATTTGGAAGAGCAGGGTGTGATTTCTCCAAATAGTACCAGACTCTAAAAGATCTCTGCATTCCAAATTAGCGCATAGAATGAATGGGGTCTCCTAAACTCCTTTTCTCACTGCCCCTAAAGATAGTCCCTTTTCCCTGTTGAATTGTTGCCTACAATGTAGAAAACAGGAGACATAGCCAAGTAACCATTGAAGGGCTATTTCAAAGGTTACCAAGTTATTATAAGCCTTTTTATCCCCCTGACTCCCACTGAGATGATAACTAGAAACTTGTGCTCACCATTTTCTTTAATTGAACCACAAGTTTTACTTCTGGGTGGTACCCTATTCCCGCCACCACCACACCTTTAGGAAAATCAACAGGTACCTCCCTTAGCTATGGCCTGCTCCTCTTCCTTAGTCTCCAAGTGCCATGATGTAATCAATACAGAGCAATATCTGAAAATGTTAGCCCTTCAACCTGCTCAGATATTAACCCTCCTGAGAAGTCCCTCTTTGACAGTCAAGGTGTGCTAAATAAATGTAAAGTAGTGTGACTTTTACAACCTTCAGATATTAGGAAATCAGTCTGTTCCCTATTCAAGCACAGGCTCTTCTCAGTTTAAACCTTTTAATAACACACATGCCCTTCTATTTGAAACAACCTGTCCATAACTCAGAACAAATGCCACTATAGGCAGAAAGGGGAGTGGGCAATTATAGCTAGTCAACAATGGATGGCAGAGAATATTCCTTTCTAACCCACTGGTTTCCACTGACTGTCAAGTTGCATTTGTGACGTTCCTATACATCAAATAGAAAATTTGATTTGTATAAAGTATGTGCAACTTGACTTTATACTATTCTAGGAAAATATTCTTCCAATAATCTAGTTCATCTTAAGTGAAGGCTCTGGTGCCAAGAAATTACAAAAGCTTTTGCTGGAACCATTTTTAGACCCCAGCATCCCACAGGGGTGGGGCTGGGGGATATTTTCATGGCCCTTCTAGCTGTTGATCTCCCTACCATACAGAAGTTAACTCCTTCAATTAACAAGATGGAATGGAGATGAATCTCAAAATTTACAGCTGACTGCTACAACCATAGGTAGAGTTGTGACTATTCCTGAAACTCAGTTTCTGACCCTCCTTTTACTAGGTTATTGGGCAAAAAATACGTCATTCCTAATGTTCTTTTCTCTCATCCCAGGTGATGCCACAGTTTGGGGATCTTACGTAGTACCCAGGCATGGGGGTAGAGAGTAGAGATAGGTTAAAGATATATGCTTCCAGGTCCTTTAGAGGCTGTCAGTTACAGCTCAACCCTCTGCCCACATGGGTCCTTTCAGGTGCTATAGTTTTCTCCAATGTCTCTGCCATACTTGGAGCACAAAATTCATTGCCAAGGTCACCTATTGGTCCATCCACCTAGACATTGCACACAGCCCTTCCTCTCTTGAGTCTTTCAATAACCAAATGTTGCTCCTGGCAGTTTGTGCTGGTTGATCTCCCACAGAGCTCTGTTTGCGCCCCCTCCCAAGCACCAAGGAGAGGGGAGTGAGGAAGAGAAGAATATTTTTTTAGCCTTATGCAAATCTTTCTTTCTTCTAGTTTTCTGGCCCAGATACCTTGTCTTTCCCTCTGGACATTAAGCCGTTCCCTAGGGCTTCCACTTTTGGAACAAAAAAGCTAGAGAGACTAACAGAGTATTTGAGAAAGTGGGGAGAAATACAGGAAAGAAAAAATCAATTTAGGTCTCAAAATATTGCAGCCACATTCTCCCTCTATTAAATCTTAGCATCGGGCAGCCCAGGTGGCTCAATGGTTTTGGGTCACCTTCGGCCTAGGGTATGATCCTGGGGACCCAGAATCAAGTCCCATGTCGGGCTCTATGTATGGAGCCTGCTTTCTCCCTCTGCCTGTGTCTGTGCCTCTCTCTTTCTCTGTCTCTCATGAATAAATAAATAAAATCTTTTTTAAAAATCTTAGCATCTAGGGCAAAGAAAATTTACTTCTTTACTGAAAGGATACAGAAATACAGATTTGAAGGTGTACACGCACCCCAATGTTTATAACAACGTTATCAACAATAGCCAAACTATGGAAAGAGCCCAAGTGTCCATCTGCTGATGAATGGATAAAGAAAATGTGGTATATATATATATATATATATATATATATATATATATATATAATAGACTCTTATTCAGCCATCACAAAGAATGAAATCTTGCTATTTGCAATAATGTGGGCGAATGAAGCTAGAGTATATTATGCTAAACAAAATAAGTCAGTCAGAAAAAGACAAATACCATATGATTTCACTCATATGTGGAATTTAGGAAACAAAACAGAAGAACATATGGGAAGGGGAGAAAAAAAGAAAAAGAGGGAAGCAAACCATTAGACACTCTTAATGATAGAGAACAAACTGAGGGTTGCTGAAGAGGAGGTGGGCAGGGAATGGGCTAAATGGGTGATGAGTATGAAGGAGGGCATTTGTTATGATGAGCACTGGGTGTCATATGTAAGTGATGAATCACTAAATTCTACTCCTGAAACCAATATTACACTATATGTTAACTAACTAGAATTTAATTAAAAATTTGGAAGAAAAAAAAGAAAATGTACTTCTCTTACTTAAGCCCCCTGCTCAAGACAGTGATTCCCAGGGCTTGGATCCTGGATGATCTTTTCTCCAGGCAAGCCTTGGTACTGGGGAATTTCTTACCTGAATCATCTAGGGTCTGTTAATATCCTCCCAGGAGGCTCTCTTTCCTTCCAGCAGAAGTTGAGTGTCCCCTGAGTAAGAACAAACATCACCTAGCTCAAAAATGAGCAGATCTCTCCAACTTTCAAATTAAACAGTACGGGGATCCCTGGGTGGCGCAGTGGTTTAGCGCCTGCCTTTGGCCCAAGGCACGATCCTGGGGACCAGGGATCGACTCCCACGTCGGGCTCCCTGCATGGAGCCTGCTTCTTCCTCTGCCTGTGTCTCTGCTTCTATCATGAATAAATAAATAAAATCTTTAAAAAAAACAGTACAATTTCTGGATCCTTACTATGGAATACAATCTCCTCTTCTAGACACAGTCTTTCCTCATGTGCCCCAGGCCAGATAACAGGTAGAGGGGTAAATTTAAGATAAATGCCTTCACCTTAACAACCTGAAAAAAAAGAGCAAACCTAACCTGCATCATTTCTCTAAAACTTACTAAGTATCTGAAATCTTAATTCCTCTGCAAAGTCCCCATGTGGACAGGATACAGAGCCTGAGTTTGGCATGCTGAAACAGCCCTTTCCCTCTCCAGGAGATCATTTCTGTAGAAATGTGAAGTCCAGGGGGTGCCTGGGCAGCATAGTCAGTTAGGGGTTTGACTCTTGGTTTCAGCTCAGGTCATGATCTCAGGGTCATGAGATCAAG